GGGCCCCTCGCACCACACCCCGCACACTCCTAGCTTTACATCTCGCAACGGTCAAATCTAAGTTTTTCGGTACCGTTATCGCATAAAGGTTAAATACCGGTATAGCTTTAATTTCGGTACACTTATTTTATACCGGTACCGTACCGTTATACCTTAACCGCTTTCAGTCCCTGATTGGGAGTGTCTGCTAATCGTCTGTATGCGATATAACACGCTTCCCTAAACTGCTAATGACCTATTATCATTTTCCGCGTTAAATATTCTCAAATATTAATGTCAGTTGAATATATTTTATCTGCTTGTTTATTATTATTCATTATTAAACAAGCAATATTTGAAATGATTCAGACTTTAATTAGTTTAGTGTCTCGTTATCTCATTTCTCTTAAATTACTATCTCTAAGGGCGCATTGTTGCGACCCAGGCGCGTGCAAAACGGCGAGATATTGAAAACATACATGTCGGTCTTAGTTAGCAATAAATCGATGATAAACAAATGGTTTTGTTTACCCTTTACTTTCAATCAACCACAAAGATTATCAGTTACTAAAAACTGCGCATAAGTCTGACTTTCAGTGATCAACTGGTACTCTAACATACCATAGAATTATCAGTATACATTACAGTGGCCCCAATGTGTTCCTTGCGGTACTCCTATGGTATTTTTGTTTTAGATACTTTAGATTTTATTGTAACACATTTTGTTTTGTTTCACAGCAGCCGAATCCAACCCGGGATGATGACGATCTTCACGAACATCATTCGACAGGAACAAATTGTGGGACTATGGAGGGGCATGGTTCCTTCCATCGCTCGTTGCGTTCCCGGCGTGGGAATCTACTTCTCTTCACTGCATTGGTTGAAAGCCAAAATGGGCAAAACCAAGGGCGACTTGGGTGCCTTGGAAGCAATCACGTTGGGAGTTGTTGCAAGAACCATGAGTGGCGTTGCGTTAATACCCATTACTGTGATCAAAACTAGGTAAGTTTATTATACATCACTTATACGTTTATGTATTTATCTTAGGCACTAGCCTATAGATGCTGAAATCTAAAAATAGATTAAGTATTTACTTTCTTAACTTTAAGGTGATAAATATGAAAAAAAAATAATAATAATATAGTTACTATGGATACTAGCGAACGTGTGAACGAGTAGTTTATCAGTATCTATGCTACGCTATATTATCATTGAAAATATGAAGCGAAAAATGTTACAATTACCTTTAAATGGGTTTGTTCCATGACGCAGATAATTACCGATTTCAATCAAAAGGTTGGTCTGTGTCGTCATATCAAAGATATTTATGAGCCCACCTTCATTATTGAGCACTTTTTAATCAGTAAGCAGCGTCGAAATAATTATCCGTTCGTTGTCTTCGAGTGAATAGGTATCTGATTAAATGCTGGCTCGTGAATGTACCTATACGTTACAGAACGCGTGGTCAGGTCAACTGTGACAATAGCTATGGTAATGCGAGGTTACAGCGCAGTCGTAGTTACTGCGCTGTTGTCCGTATCTTCGTTAGTTCTGATTCAGTAGACTATTCACCTTACGTCCGGAAAATGCTAAAATATTCCTTTATGGTGTGACTCGCCTGACTCGGTCGAGTCAGAACTATTAGCAATTACATCTAAATAATATTGTTCCCTATTTTTTCCTCAGATATGAATCTGGGGTGTACAAATACAACAGCTTGGGTGGTGCCCTGAAGGCCATTTACAAAGCGGAAGGCATCCGAGGCCTTTCCTGTGGTCTGGGCCCAACCCTCGCCAGAGATGCACCTTTCTCTGGCCTGTACCTCATGTTTTATTCGCAAACCAAGCAAAGTGTACCTAAAGGTAAGATATTTTATTTGGTCCTTTGCTTATGAAAGGACTAACTTTACTGCCTTTTGAAACGCAGTAAAATTGGTCCTGTATTTGACAGATAATTTTATAAATTAGTGAATGTTGTAGAAGCTCGTTATCAAAGCGTTAGAGACAAAAAATTGTGGGTTAATAACTATACTAAATACGTTGATAAAGTGTTTAAGTACCTATAGATAAAAAGGTCGCGCGATCCTTCTTGGAATGAGCAAACCGATGTTTCTATCGATTTATCTGTTAATGTGTAGTTATTACGTAATTTTAAACATTGTTGTTATATAGGTACCTAGTCTTTGGACTGTATTACATTAACATTAGTTATTTAATACGTACTTTGTAACTAATATTTACTTTCTTATTGATTACAAACGTTAGAAGCGTGTTCACATCACGTTTATATTTATCTACAGTTTATGTTAGATTTGTAATTATTGTTCTTATTTGTTTATTTTCTGTACTCTATATCAATAGGAGAATATTACTAGGTATTAAGAAAGAAATTATGTCGTAGGTACTTTGATATGAAAAGAATTAATTGTGTCATCAAATAGGTATCCACATTAATATTTTTTTAAAGTAGGATAGTAGTATGAACTGGCGCTTGTTTTTCTGGAATACTCATTGAAAACACGTTGCGATTAATTCTATGATAACAAATTAATCTCTGATAAATAATTATTATCGTGTTTTGTAGGGAAACGCGTCAGCAAATGTGTTTTTGTTTGTCGGTCTTTAGCATTAAAATTATTGAAATCTAATCTCGTTTGATATGAATTTGGAATACGTAATTGACGTCAACCTATGGCAGCACATCATTATCGGTGTCCGCATTATTCAGAAGTCAATTTGACAAAAACATAGTGACTAATTGTTTTTTTTTTTTGTAAACACCATTCACTTCCTATTTACTTACGAATTGTTCTAGGTAGATAGATGAATAGATTGTACATTATTTGATCAATATCATAAGGAACATAACTTAGTAATACTTGCTTATCGTGATGTAGGTACGTTATCATATAACCCATATACGTATGAAGTATGTATGTTTTGACGTAGTATATCACACCATATTTTATTATTAAAATAAATGCCCACGTCAATATTACTTACTAACTAAAATAAAGCAACAAGATGAAGGCGTAGTCGCATTGTTTTATAAACATTGTTACGTATGTGACATCAATCGCGTCAATACGAGCCTAATGCTAAATACTGATAAATTAATAAAATTAAACAAACATTAGAACCTACTTGGATATTATACCCCTTGTTATTTTCTAGATAGAATTTTACCAATAACATCTTTATTCAATAACAGCTTCTGGGTATTATAGATAAGTACAAGTAATAGCGTTAAATAGAACTAGGTAGTTACTAATAGAACTTATTTAGGCTAGTCAAATCTGGCTACCGCCAAGTCGAGTGCGAAGCAAACACCATCCTTTACTGGAACTATTTCGCCCCATTTTTGTCAGGCGCCATATTTGAGAACCTCTGGATGAAACAACAAAAATTATTATCATATTAATTTACGGGAAGCTAGACCTTACATTATCTAAAGAAAGCTCAAACAATTATGTAAACTTCTAACTATTTGAACACTTGATTACTTAAATAGTTTATCTCACCTACTCAATGGATTGACCGCAATATCTCCATCTTTGCAGAATGGATGCAGTCGCCTGGTGCAGCCAGTGCCGTTCACTTCAGCTCCGGTATAGTTGCCGGGATCGCTGCGTCTCTGGTAACCAACCCTGCTGACGTGCTCAAGACCAACATGCAGTTGTACCCTGACAAGTTCCCCAACGCATTCAGCGCGGCTGTATATGTACATCAGGTAAGACAATGCCATTTTGAACTTTAATAACATTATGAATAAAGACCAAATTGCAATAATGATGATGCTGAAACAAAGTAGCTTTCACTGTCGAACTATTGTCTTGTCTAGGTCAACGAGAGATTTCAATATAATTTTCCGACTTATATTCAAATTTTACTTATGGAATTTTATTGGAAGTCCTCAAGCATTATCCGAAATTAATGTTACATAAAAATTGTTATAGGTATTATCTGTGTAGTAACAAACTGTTGTAGATACTAAAATTCAAAGAGGTCAAATAATAACACTAGTGACACCTAGGTGATGTGATGAAACATCGTAAGATGCTCTAATTAACCAGGTAGGTATTTTGTAGATTAATAAAAACTTAATTAGGTACCAATCGCTTGTGTCACATGTCAAAGGTGCTTTAGACTTGTGATAAGTAGAACAGGAAGATTTTCTGAATGTTTATGTATCTTAAAAAACGGATAGTAGACATTTACTTAGGTAGTTGTCTGAAGATATTTTATATGCATGTTGAAATGGAAAAAATAACGAAGAAAATCCATTTAAATATAAAATCTGCCGATTATATAAGAGATCTAGCAAGGCAACATTTACGCTCGAATACTGAAAGGGTAAATATCGTGCCATCTCTTTCATTTTACATAGAATTTGTTGTGGCGACTTAAAATTGTAACGTAGCCTTTCAGTATTCGGTTGTTAGCCTCTTAATTATTAAGATAACCAACAATCACGGGGGTCGTTTATTTTTTTTAATTAGGTGTATCTATCACCCAGACGTCGCGTGTTGTATAGTTCACGTTATGTCAAGTTCACAGTTTATTTTTTCACTAATTATTGGAATTGTTAATTGAGGGCATCAGAGTCATCAATATTGTTTAATTTTTGCACCATTATGACACATCTTATGTTAGGTCGTCATTAATATTTTGCGCAGAAACATGTTTCTGCAATTGTGTTTTTAAGTATATAGGTATATACCTATATGAGTACTGCTTTCCTTTATTACCTACTAAGAAGGAACTAAGTTTTTGAAAAGGTCTGTTTTATAGTACGACAAGATTATAAAATAATATATTTTCCTTTCTAAAATCCCTTTAAAAACTACAATTATTTGAAAAGACAGTTGTAATTATGATATCATGAAGCTGAATATATGTAGGTAAAGATAAATAAAGTTAATTACTTGTAACTATTAATTTAGAAAGTGAGCAAAGCTACATGTAGATAATAGTTTTATTTCGAGTTAGAGCACTTATGTAAATATTTATTTAATAGTCTGAGTTCCCACCTATTTGTCCACTGATATTAACTTATCATGATGCGGGTAGGTATCAAAGTATAATTATGAAATATCATCATTTAATTGCAAATATTTGTTCTGAGCAGTTGTTGACCAAGAGAATATAATGAATTACTGAGAATGTTGAGATAATAAGTGAATGCTGCCTTTATCTATAAGTGAAGGACAAGTAATGCCCTCTATCGAAGTTATTGGTTGTATGAAATTGTATAACAATGACTCAGAAGAAAAATTGTTGGTATTATATTTCTCTCTCATCTAGACAAGAGCGACATTAATTCATATTCCCCCGGGCAACAACTGGGGTTTTACGTTTTAAAAATAAAAATAACATTTACCTACCTATACCTACATAAGGTTTATTATTTTATTCTTGAGTTATGGTCTGGTGCTATAATGCGACGCTAGCGCCATCTAGGTAGTCATAGCACAATAAAGGTTTTAAAATGTAATGGTGTGTTTAAATATTCTTATCTTTGTGTTAATGTACAGTGGTATTAATAAATCTTTCTTTGTTACAGACATACGGCGTAAAAGGTTACTTCAAGGGTGCTGTGCCAAGAATGTTGCGTCGCACACTGATGGCTGCGATGGCGTGGACCGTCTTCGAAGAAGTTACTAGGACAATTGGCTTGAAATGATATTCTACATCTTTATTTTATATTCGTCCATTCTTGATATTGTTTTGCTTGATTTATTGGTATGATGTTCCTAGTTTTTCATCGTTTAGTTCGAATATTATGTATGCTTTAATTTAGTATGTTAACGTTTTCTTAGGTTTAGTACTCAATTGTGATATGAATGTATTCAATCATTGTTAACCATTTATACTGTATTTAATTTTATTGGTTAATTCAATGTATATCAGATATTTATAGTTGCTATATGCTAACCATAGTGATTTGTTTTGTATAGAGGATTTTACAGACTATTTTTGTATGGGCTTGGATTCTGCTGTGCACAAACGAATTTTTTCTATTCTTATATTACAAGAATGGATAAGGATGGTATCCATATAGATTACCTGTATTTTAAAGATCTTGGAGTACCTACCTGACCATTTTAAAGTATTTAAGTTTGTGTTTAAAAGAATGACAGCCATTGTACTCAAATAGCAAATGTAAGTTACTATGTGCCTATTTTATTTTATTAAAAAAAATAAACATTTAATCAAAGTTACGTTTTTGTTTTAACCTATTCTCGTATCTGCACTCATTGATCTTAACCTTAGCAACTTAAGAAGAGTCTTACAGATTTACAACAAAACAAGACACAGACAACAATGAAACACAATATAACGAAATTATATTATATTTTACATATTTACAATTACGATTTGATTTATAAAATTTTCTATTTACTATGACACTATCATATAAACTCTAGTCCTTCATACTTGAGGTTTTCCACAAGTGTGTCGTGTAGCAACACTGTCCCGTCAGTAGTAAATGCAGTTATGTATGTGGCGGTCTTGCCCTCAAACTCGGTAGTCTTCAAAGCTACTATGGCCTCATCATTAGTTCCCGGTATGAACTTGAACGATGAGAAACCATGCTTTGGCTGGTGCTTTGTTATCTGAAAACATATAAACGAATTTGAGTTACATTAATCAATACAATTCCAGAATCCACTACTTTCGATACTCCGTATCACTTGGGTATATACAAAACACTGCTGTGTAGTTTCATTTTCTTTGTACCAGGTCAAACTATCCTTTTCTGTCAAATTTCTCTATTTAAATTTTCAACTTAATAATTTTTTTATGGTATAAGTCGGTAAACGAGCTGACGGATCACCTGATGGTAAGCAATCGGCGTCGCCCATGGACACCTGGAAAACCAGAGGCGTTGCACTTGTGTTACCGGCCTTTTGAAATGAGTAATTTCAGGATTGTCTCACACGACGACGACAATATTCTATTGATAATTATAAAATCGAAAATCCAATGAATAAATTTGACAGATTGGAGTAGGTTGGTTTGCTGGCCACTGTGTCTAACTATTTAAGTAATGAGGTTGTCATCATATTATGCCATATCTGTGTAATGTTATAATAATTTTACATTTACAAGCTGTTATATACACAAGTGTATTTTACTAGTATTCGAATTGTCGAATACTAGTAAAATACACTCGAAAATATTTAATGTTGTTTACTCTCAGTTTCAAAACTCAAGGCCATAAGTATATTACGGCAAAATACGATTAAATGAATAACATCTGGATAAACAATGTCTTCACTTGACGTAGTTAACCAAGTGATTACATTAAATATCCTGCATTTCCCGTCTGTGATGAAAATTATTCATTGATTGATATAACTGTTTTTTGAGCGGGGAAAATCATCCAATGGCTTCTCCCGCCCGGGAGGGAGAGTCAGACTCTTACCTACTACGCCGGCAACCCCCTAAGCTCTCCGCGGCTCTGATTGATATAACTTGCAATAAATACTTCATTTACCAAATCTCACTTTTAGCTAATGACCAATGTTTTTTAAATCTTCATATTGTGAGCAGTCAGATATCGAACCATGTGCCAATAATTTTATTAAAATAATGATCTATTACTTCAGCATAGTAACTGATTGATTGAAACTGTTAAATATGCATGCAAAGAAGTATTGACTTCTAGTTATCCATTATAATTTATAGTTTCATGTCTCCCCTGTTTCTAGTATTAAATTATATGGCTATGTGTTTAGTGAATTACCAGTCTTGTATTATAAAAGTGTGACCGAGAGGCTGAAGTGCCATATCGTAGTCTGACCAAATATCAAAGGAGTTGGAAATACCTATGAATGTTGCAATGCATCAAACAACAGAACGAGATGAGTGGCGCCATCTAATGAACAAAATCAGAGGTAGTAACGACCCTAAGTAGTGAGGAAATCGACTAAGAAGATTGTAAAAGTATTCCATTTCTAAAAAAGCTTACCTCAAGAGCATGCACATGTTTAAAATTTTCATCAGCAGTTATTAAGTAATTGCAACCCATAACTTCATCCTTGGTCTCATTGTATGGTTCATGGCTACATCTCCTTGGTAAGAAGTGCCACAACTGCTTGAAGGGGGACCATACTCCTGACTCATGGATCATATAACCCGGCCAATTGATACCGATCGAACTGCGCACGGCTTTGTACTGATTCACCCAACTTAAATGCTGGATCTGTGAATAGAAGACAAATAATTAAAAACCTTTAAGGATAAACACAATATAAAATCAGGCCTTTTATCCCCGATGGGGTAGGCAGAGGTGTCCATTAATTACGGCACTTAATGCCACTGTATAAATTAACACCCACTTTTCACTATTTTTCGTTATGAGTCCCATGCAATAGGGGGTGAGCCTATTGCCATACATCGGCCACAATTCCAGAATCCGTGCTACCACTGAGAATTTTTTTTAAACCAAGTAATACTTTGCCCGGCCTGGGAATTGAGCCAGAGACTCCTTGCCCAGCAGTCTCGCGACCACTGGGCCAACGAGGCAGTCAATAGAGATAGAATAGATAAAGTATCTAACATCATAATATTATGTTATTTTTGTAAATGGAAAAAGTGGTTGATGTATAATCAAATAAATACATAATGCTTTTGCCTTAATGGGAGATAAAATGTCTGATGTTTTGTGTGTAATTCTTTTATACTCTTTAACAGTTCAGGTCCACAAAAAAAATTGTATACCATTTATTAAAACAACTGTGATATTGCTGCATTTCTCTACTGTGTTCCAATTTCTTTACTAGTTACTGAAGTAGAATTGAGGCAGTAGTTAGGATGATAATAATGTAGTTTATTATCATGATATAAATATTCATTTGTAAGATATGGTTTTTGTCAATGTGTTTTACTATGAAAAATAGACATGAATATTTTAACTTTTCAAATAAATATAATTAGTTAGCTAATTTAAACTTCCCGCTTGCATGAAGTGATTATCTAAACCAATAAATTATAAGTGATAAATATTGATAACCTCATGGATTGTGAGCACCTTGCTGATAAGATATTGAACACTTCTGCTACTGCACAAGACTTATAATAATATAATGTTCAATCTTGAGAGTACAATATAATTGGTTTTCCTATGAACAATTTCCTTATTGTTATTTGTAATACAAAATAAATATTGAATATGCTATGTAATGTGCTATTGTATTCATAATACAAACATTAATGCAAAGAATTTAAGTCTAAAATAAATTCACAAAAACTTACATAACAGTAGATTAATGTGAATTGTTTCTTCTATATCTAAAACAGACAATTTAAATTCACTGAATATATAAAATGTTCTACATAAAAGTACACTATCTACTCATTTACGCTACATAATACCTATGACTAAGTGAAAGTTTAATAATTTTTTAATTATTACTACATAAATATATCTTACTTCTCCATGAATGTTGACAGCTTTGACCCACATGGGGTCATAACTTTGGAACTCCCCGCTGGCTGTTGTCCATTCCTTGCCCATTGATCCCACATAAAGAATATCATCCTTAATAGTCGCCCATTCTGACTTAAATCCTTTTTCAACACGACCATTGCCATCTGTTAATATTACCCATGGCAATACTTTGTTATCAACTATCTCAAACACCTGAAATAGAAACAGATTTTATATAC